TTTGAATCCAGGACACTGTGTTTGCTAAGCAAGCACTCTACTACCACCTTTTTGCTCTAGTTACGTTTGAGATAGGGTCTCACTTTACGCCCAGATAGGCCTCAAACTTCAATCCTCTGGAGTAGCTAGAATGACAGCCCTCATTTCCTAATCTTATGTATGCACACTAATGTGTAGACACACATAAATATACCTACTGTTTCATGTAAAAGAAAAATTTACAAATTTAAAAGCTTTATTTGATCAGTTATACACATAGATTGAAAAATCTGGCATCCTGCATACTGAAGAATAGTCACATTCAAGAATAACAATTTTGATGAAGTCTCTGACAGATTTTAAAAAGGTCATTTTTCTAAGACCTGTTGTTCATTTCTTAATTATCACTGAAAATAATTTGTCACATAGAGAAGTAAAGTGTTTAAAAACTATCTACTCCAGGTACCAAATACACAAAATATGTCATTAGTTTTCTTTATCATTTTTTTCCTTTTTACTAGTTTGGAGGATATTCCTTATTTCTATTCTTTGGGCAATTACTCTTAAAATTATAATTTGCATAGTGACCTTAAACTAATATAAAGGTGATTAGTATCTCTTCACTTTTCCCAAATAATATAAGAATGTCAAAATGAATGAACTCTGATCCCACCCTCCTATCTTCCACTGTAGTGCTGATAATTTTAGATCCACTTTGTTTTTAAATATTCTCAAATTTCATCATCATTAGTTATGCTCAATACACAGTAAACTTAACAAAATGTTATATTAAGTAATTTCATTAAACACATTATTTCTTGCTCTCTATGATTTTTGAGTTGTTTCCTTCTTTCTGAAATCCTATCAAATAAAGGCTATAAGTTTTTTATGTTAATTTATTTTCACTAATGATTAAGATTTATTTTCACTAAGAAAATTGATCTCTACACTAATTTACTCCCAGTGAATACTTACTTCCTCTTCTCCATCTTCTCCTTCATCATCATCATCATCTTCTTCTTCTTCTTCATCAAGAGGTGGAGGTAAAGGACCAAGGATATCCTCCTCCATAAGATTAACTGGTTCTCCTACCATTTTAGGGGGTAAAGGAGGACCAATTAACTCATCAGAAGAAGAATCAGAACTGTCTTCACTTTCACTGCTTGTATCCCTGAAAACATAGAAACAGAAATTTTTTGTCTCTACTACTTTATTCTTTGCCTTTCCAATGTAATGTCTGAAGACAGTACTGTCTTTTCAGGAAATCCTATCACTCATTCATTTAACGAATGAGTTTTTCCAATGTTTTTCAATTTCTGACTCAAACATTAAATATATAACTCAAATATTACTTCACCTTAAGAAAGTATTAAAAAAACTTATCTAATGGCCTTACCTAAACATAAAGTCAAAGATAAAGAGCCACAACAATTATACATTACAGGTTCATTAAGTCATTATCACTCATAAAGAGAAAAGAGAATAGAATATAGAAGAAAAATTCACAATACTAGACCCATAAGAGTGAAAATAACTAAGACAACCATGCCTCTATTAAGTGCATTTTAATCCAATTGCTGTGGTCAAAGGAGCTAATAAATCTAAGGAAGTTAATATTACTCCCCGAATGTTTCAATACAAACCACAAATTATTTATCTGTACTAATCCAAGATTAAATGCAGCCTTCTTGTCTACTCTAGGGCATACCATACTGAGTCCCAGGTGCCAGTGGCTCATTCCTATAATCATAGCTATTTAGGAGGCTGAAATCAGGAGGATCATGGTTCAAGGCCACCCCAGGCAAATAGTTCAAGAGACCCAATAAACAAACAAACAAAACAAAAAACAGAAAGAAAGCAGGAATCTCTACTTTGTTCATTGCAATTTCGTGAGATATATAAGGCAAACAATAACTACTTAAATGGAAAAAATGGGATTTTTCTTTTTGTTTTCATCTAGGTTCAATACTGAAAGGAGTACAGGCTCACATAAATGTTATCCCCACACAAAGAGACTGACAATCCCCCCAAAGATGAGCTGTATTGTCCTCACTCATCATATCCAGCCCCACATGCCTTCTTTCTAATTGGGCAGTTTAAAGTTGTTTCAGCATGAGGGTGTTTGTACACCCTCATGAGGGGTTTCAGGAGAAGGTGTAGCTCCCTCTGCTGGGTCACTTTTCCCACCTTCCCATATGGCTTACCATTTCAGGCTTCCTTGAATTATCATCTCCTCAAAGAAGCCTCAAAGCACACCTTTCTGAACTTTTACACACACCACACCGATTACCAGTATCTTAAAAATCTTAGTTTGTTTACTTTCATTATATACACAATAAATTATCTTATTTGATTGGTTATTTAGTTGTTGACGTATCATCTACCCACTAAAGTAATCCCCCTCTAATATGAGCTCAGTGAGAATGGAGGTCTTATCTGACACACTAACTATAGTATTGTCAGCACCTAAAACAGTACTCAAACCACAGAACATATTCAATGAATAATAGTTAATCAAATAATTTTATATTACACTCTATCTGCCTTGTGATTAAAGCACAAGTTTCCAGCTGAATTTGTTTAGAAGTCACAGACCTTTTTAGCGCAAAATTATTCAAGCCATCACAGCTCTAAAACTTAGGCACTGATCCTTACAGCAATGCTAAGTTAACTGAGCTGATCAATTCAGAAGTTAACATTAAACTGATTTTAACTCAATTGATCCATGTTGATTTCATCTGATTACCCACTAATGTCCACATAAAATCTGGATGGGATACACAAGTTTCTATGCAGCTTCTAATTCCATTTCTGGCTTTTTTGCTTCTAATATGCTCAAGCCAAAAAAATAAAAGAATTTTTAACATATTTTCAATATTCTGAAAAACAAAGTCTACAAAATTATGACCAAAAATATCTCTGATAGAAAACAATTCATTCCATGTTTGAAATACGCCTTGATTCAAAGTGATGCCAAAACACGAACTAGGGCCTGAGACATTGCATGTACTGGATGAGAAAACAGCTAGGAGTCAAATTCCATTTTTTTCTCAATAGATGTATTAAAGAGATTTTAACTAAGCATTAATAATGTTAATAATTGAACAATTGCAACTTAGGAACTAAATTCATAAGCAAAGTTCACTGTTTCTACTATTAATTTTTTAAAAAGAAATGCAAATACTTAAACATTTCCTATCTTGCAAATTGGAATAAATACATCACTATTTCTCTCCTATCCTAAAGCAGTATTTCACAGGAAAAGTGACATATTTCTTGAGGGGCAATTTGTATCCACATAATATGTCTTTAAATCCAAAAGTGGAAATGTGAGATGACTATCTTTATCTAAACCAAATTTCAGTAACACTGCAGATTTTCAAAAAATTATTTATATATTTTACAAAACTGACTCTCAAAACGTCACAAAGCGGGGAGGTGAGGGAGGGTAGAACTAACGTGATAATTATTTACAATATTTAAGTGAGGAAATGAAGAACAGCCAGAAGAGCAATCCCAGACATGAATTCACAGTAGAAGAAACAATCTGTAGCCAAGCGCTGTGGCTCAAGTCTGTAATCTTAGCTATCCTTGGGAGGCTGAGATTTGGAAGAGTGTATATGGGAAGGAAAGAATCTTCTTGCATGCCTAATATAGTTCCTTGTAGTAGGGTTGAGGTGTCCTTTTTCTTTCTGGCTCTCTGTATCCTAGCTCCTTACAATAGCTGCACTACTCTCATGTTGCCCCCTTTATCTTCAAGCCAATTTTAGTGCCTCGTGTCTTTCTCACACTTTGAGTTTCTCAGACCTCTGTCATACTTGTTCTGCATCTTTGCTTTTAAGGGCTCTGTGATTAGAATGGACTGACTAGGACAGTCTTCCTATTTTTTAAATCTGTCAGCTAATTATATCTTCAAAGTCCCTTTGCCATGTACTGGAACATTTTTTTCAGACTCCAGGGATTAAGGTACTGACATTCTTCATTCTGTCTAACACAACAGTGTGTTTCAAAGGGTAGGAATCTAGGTAAATTAGAAGAGGATTTAAAAAAAAAAAAAAGATGCTTTGTTAATGGTACAGGTTGAGCATTCCTAATTCAAAACTCTGAAATTCAAACTTTTTGAGCATATGTCAGGGATCAAAAGTTTTGAATTTCTGCTGGGTGCTGGCGGTTCATGTCTGCAATAAGAGCCACTTGGGCAGCTGAGGTCAGGAGGATCAAAGTTCAAGGCCAGCTTGGACAAACAGTTCAAGAGACTCCCATCTCCAAAATAACCAGAGCAAAATGGACTGTAGGTATGGCTTAAGTGGTAAAGTACCTGCTTGGCAAGCACGAACCCCTAAGTTCAAATCGAGTCCCACCAAAAAAAAAAAAAAAAAAAAGCACAGGTAACAATGATAAATTCTGGACAATACATACCATCCAAAACAGGAAAAACTAAAAATTGACACTTTAAGAAAAGAATGCTACTGAGCAAATGTACCTAATGGTTTTTCTCCAGATGGTTGGCCCAAGTCATTAAAGCTGGCTGTATAAAATTCATATAGAAATCTACTGTCTTGGACTGGAGGTATGGCTCAAGTGGTAGAGCATCTGCTTTATATGCACAAAGCCCTGAGTTCAAATCCTACACACACACACACACACACACACACACACACACACACACACACACACACACACACACACTCACACACACACACACACACACACAAATCTACCGTTTAAATCAGAGGGCAGAAATCAGGAAAATCCCTGAAAAGAAAACCTTATAAAAAAAAAAAAGAAGAAATAAGTCTAAAAGAAGTGAAGAGAAACTCCACTTTAAGGTACCCTAAAATCATTCAACTTAAATATTTTTCTCTGCCTATTTATATTGCTACTTTTTTCTTAGTATCTGCAAAAAGATTACTTTTTTAAACTATTCAGCATTTCACTGGCATAAAAGTTTTAAAAGTTTTCAACTAACATTTATTGTCCTATTTTTTATTTTAAAATGTACTGGTTTACAAAATTTCAAAGGAAATTTAATCAGTGGTTTTCCCTCAAGGAAAATGGTCACCATGACCCTTTTCAGAGACAGCGCCAATGCACAGTACTATGGTAACCCATAAATGAAGTTACCAACTGTTTTAGATCTCCGGAAAACTAAAATCTGATAATGTTTACTTGCTAATCTCTAATTAGAGCTAAAGATCTTTGAAAAGAAAGAATAACTGCTTAAAACAAAAAATGGCTATCTTTACCCTATCTTCTTTGCAACAGGTAACTAACAGTTTTTATTATCAAATGTAAATTCAACACCTAAAAGGGACTGAAAGCAATTGTCTAGGCACAGCATTAAAAAAATCCTGTCCTGATAAGTAGTTATATATAGGAACCCGGTCTGAATTGTCTTTATTTCTTAGAGTCTAGAAGGCAGTATGGCAGACTGCAGGTGTCACTCAAGAGGTAGAGTGCCTGCTTTGCAAGCACAAATTCCTGAGTTCGAATCCCATTCCACCAAAAATAAATAAATAAACAGAAGGCTGTATGGCCCACTGGCAGAACTTCATAATTTTTTAAGAATCAACTCATAAGCTGGGCACCAATGGCTCATGCCTATAATCCTAGCTACTCAGGAAGCAGAGATCAGGAGGATCCTGGTTCAAAGTCAGCCTGGGAAAATAGGTAGTGAGAACCTATCTTGAAAAAACCCTACACAAAAAGGGCTGGTGAAGTGGCTCAAGGTGTAGGCCCTGAGTTTAAGCCCTAGTACCACAAAAAAAATTAAATAAAATAAATTAACTCAGAGCAAAATCAAGACCTAAATAAAACCTTTTTTAAATTTATAAAAAACAAATGACAGGAGTGTAAAGTAGGGAGAGTTTAGGGGTGCAGACCAAGGGAGGGGGAAGGCAAAAAGTGTGGGTGAAGAGGAATGAACTACTATTAAATCACTCCATGTACATGTATGAAAACTGAACATTGGAACCTATTTCAAATCATTTAAAAAATAGAGGAGGAGGAAGGAAAGAGTGATGAGTGATACAGGACCAGGAATGGTAGTGCATACCTATAATCCAAGGTACTCAGAAGGCAGAGATTATAGGGATCATGCTTCAAGGCCAACCCAGGCAAAAAGATAATGAGACCACATCTCAACCAACAAGCCAGGCATGGTGGTGTGCT